GCTTAACTGTGTGTCAGTGTTGTGTCTCACATCTCCTACGCAGGAGTGCTGTATATCCACCTGAACGGAGTCTGATACCACTTCAGTATTTACATGGTAGTACGCTATGATGCGGAATGATGGCAACATCTCTTTGGTAATTAGAACATTGTGAGAAATCAGAATTTAACGTTCTGCCCGGAATCTGTCATGTTTTACCAGCTGACCTCTGCTCAGGATCTGAAGACAAATTTATACAATTTACTTATCCATCCTGTTACATAAGCTGCTGTAAGTAATTACAACCCAGTCATTCATATTTTCAAACACATACAGACAGGTATAAAAGGTCTCTTACCAGATATGTGATATCATATTCTTCGTCTCTGTTAAGGTTTAGGCTGAATTTGAGGTGTTGTCCTAATTTCACCTCAGCTGTTTCCAGTCCTGCAACAACAACTTTTTACAATCAGTACTAGACACTTTGTTGGCTCTCAGAGCTATAGAGAGGATTATCAGCACGATTTCTGCTGTCTTATCTTCTGATGTCATTTTACGAAATTCCTCACCAATATGAATGTAATTTCTGCTTGTGTGAGGGGTAACTATCATGGTAGCAGATCTTTGCCTTGCTGGTAAAATGTTCTCAACAGCAGTCCTTGCCTGTAATTAAAGGCATACAATAGATTATACACAACTAATATAAAAATAATACAATGATAAACAAACAATACAATGACACTAATTTTGTACTAGATTAAAAGTATTTAGCCTATTTTTAGCTAACCTACAGTTGAGCTGACATACAAACTACTGGCTATTTCCAACCACGTAAGAAAAGTTATATAACATTTTTAAAGCTGTGTACTTTCTGACATACAGTGAAATAAAAAGACTGATGAGTGCATAGTTGGCAATAACTTGGCAATAAACAACATTGCAAAACATCAAATTGACAATTAAACATACAGTAATAATGATGTTTTCGCTGTTTTCCACTGTATTGATGCTTAGCTTTGCCATGCCGTTGTCTGCAGTGTGCCCTTTCACTTCACCAGGATTCACCACAACAGGAATATCTTTTGCTGGAGTGTTATCAGGGTTCAAAACTTGAATCTGCCATTACAACAAAGAAAAACAAAGATCAGCATAGTTTATTTGATATTAAGCACATTAGTTTCTGAAAACAATATAACAAAAGCATAAAAAATAACTAAAAAAAACCAACAATAACAGAAAAAAATTATTTTCATCTCAACTAAACATGTTCAGTAAAATATTATACATCACATACACATTATGTGTATATTTAATCTTATAAAGTTGTTTTGCTCATGAAACATTGAAATTAACACATTGAACTCATTGAAGCCCAATTGCCAACCCCCCCCCCCCACCACCACCATATTTTGTAAATTGTAAATAAAAACTGTCAAGGACAGTTGTGGCTAAAGAAGGAACCAGTTTCTATGACTATCAAGACAGGAAGTAAATTCAAAAACAATGTCAATGTGGTGTAAAAAAATACAAAATAATCCAGATCAGAAACAAATAATCCAATTCTTCTAGGAAAACACACAACAAGGAGGGACACAGCCATAAGGGAAAATGCAAGGTCTAGACTGCAGATAGGCACCTGAGCACTTGGACTTTTCTACCTCAAAGCCATAATGTTGTAGTAGTTGTAATATATAGTTTACTATTTGTTTGCTTAAATATCGAAGGCCTTCACTGAAAAAGACATCACCTGGAGGGGAACATATTGCTCTAAAACCTTTCTAGACCTTCCCACACTGATGATGCCTTTCCAGTTGTGCTAACTGCAAATTCCAAAAGCAGTAATGCACCCACATACCATCAGAAATGCAGATGCTTCTGAATGAATAATAAGGGAAAAGGTCACTCTTCTCTTTAGTCTGGAGATCTTAAAATTAGATTAGATTAATTTAGATTAATTAAAAACTTGAAACAAATGTTTTTCACTTTGCATCAATCCAGTTTATTAACTGAGCTTCGGCCTGAAGAAGACAAGGTTGTTTCTGGATCATTTTCAAATGTCTTCTTCTTTACATGATAGAGCTTTAACTTGCATTTGAGGAATTTTACATTGAAAAATGATTCTGACACAGTCCCACAATTTTGAACCTCTGCCCATCTTCTGAGGAAATGTTTCTTTTTAATACCACTTACTTTTCCAGCCTTTTTTGTCCCCGTCCTAACTTTTTTGAGACATTATCAAGAATCGCTGTGTGGCAGGCAGGAGTTTGGACCCAAAATGCAGGACTCACAACACACGGAATGAACTCAAAATGCAGCTTTATTTGCTGACTCAAGGAAATGATACAAAACTAAACTAGATTGGGAAAATCTAAACTAATCTTCACAGAGAGGGACACAAGGGAACACACAGCATGAGGGAGGATGTGACACAAGACTGAGGTAGATGCTGACCTAAATACACAGAGGGATAACAAGGAAGTGAGAACACACGAGGAACACAGCTGACACGAATAACCATAATAACACAGCGGAGGCTGGACTGAACAGAATGAACATGCGAATGCGGGACCTTCACAATAAAACAGGAAACATGATGTGGGAGTGAAGGAGAGGCAGACGAGGGCAGACATGACGCGCTGGGGAAACATGGAAAACATAACAGAATAAAACATGAAGGGAAACATGGCACAAGAACTCACACCACAATATAAACACAGACACATAGGGAAACACAGAGGGCAGAAACACAAAGGGGAATCCAATAAACTAAACTGAACAACCTAGGAACCTAGGAATATATAATGAACTAACAAAATACAAAAACACAAGAAAACTAAGAACGCTTGGACAAGATGACTCAGGACCATGACAGACATATTGCTGTCATCAAATTCAAGTCATTGAGCTATGTTCAATTTTATTGAGCAGTAATATATTTAAAGATATTGACATTTGTTGTTTTTCAAAATCAATGACTTAAAGAGTAATTATAAATTAGCAGCTTACTGTGACGCCAAACGACATTCCTGGTTTGAAATATTTGGGTGTTTTCTTGAAGTTGATGGTGTAGGGTGATTTGACAATTTGGATGCCTCTCAGCTCTGCTTCCACCATCTCACTACCTGTTTGTGAACATACACATTCATAGATTTTAAATATGAGTTCAAATTTACCATTCTTCTAACCCTTCTGCCACAAAGGACTTTAACTCACTTTGGCCCATTTGGCCCTACGTAAGTCTGGTTAAAGAGCCAGTTGCAATACATGGTTCATGGATATTCAATACAAACAATATTGTTTTTATTCCCCCCCCCAAAAAAAAACAAACAAACCAAAAAACAAAACATAAATTAGGCTAATAATAGGCTAATTGGGCTAATTTATCTATACTAGTAAATG